TAAACTACAAAAGAAGACTCTGTCTCCAAAAAAAAAAAAATTGCTACATGAATGAGCTTTGAGAATATGATGCTAGATCAAAGAAGCCAGCGCAAAAGACCACATATTATGATTCCATTTGTATGAAATGTCCAGAATAAATAAATTTATGGAGACAGAAAGTTGAGTAGTTAGTAGGAGGCTTGGGGAGAAAAGGAGAGTAACAGCCAAGACATAAGGAGTTTCTTTTGATCATGATGAAAATATTCTAAAACTGAGTATAAGTAAAAAAAAATTTTTAAATAAAACTAATGTTGGGGCTGCAGATACAGATCAGTGGTACAGCACTTGCCTCACATGTGTAAGTCCCTGGGTTTGAGCTCTAGTACTGCAAAAAGAAACAAACAAAAAAACACTGAGTAAATGATGTACACTCCTGTGTGAATAGACCAAAAACAACTGAATTGTATGCTTTAAATGGGTGAATTATAATAACTGAATTATACCTTCACAAAACTGTAGAAAATGTTAAATAGTAATGATCGGGTAGTAGAATCATAGGAGGTCTGTTTTAATTTGGGTTTATCTGTCCTGACTTTTCTACAAAGAATATAATTATTTTGAGTGATTAAAAAAAACCTCATGTTATCATACAGAAAACACAAAACACAAAAAATTGAATAAAGAAAAAGGAAATACATACATCTTCCCTTATAATACAGTATTAGCAAATTAGAAACAGCCCCTGCAGTCCAGCAGAGCAACAGCTAGGCCAAGCATGGCTTACTGCCCTGGTCAGTTACACTCCCCAGTCTGCAGCTGAACACAGAAGCGCGATGGTTTTTGCATGAGTGATGATTTACTAAGGCACTGCTATGGTGACAAACGTATGTCATACTCAGAATGTTTTTCAGCAAGTTAAAGGAAACATTCTGTGAAAAATACACAGATATATTTTTACACCACTGTATTTGCTGTTTGTACATCAACAAAAACAATAAGATAATCAGATAAAATATGGAGACTGTCTAAAGCTAACATTTTAAAAAAAGAATTCAAGCAAGAGAATTTTGATGATGATGATGATGATGATGATGATGATGATGATGATGATGATGATGATGATTCCACTTTTCCAAGTCCGTATCTGGTCTGTTGCACTCATTTGAACATCTCCAAACTGGGCATAGAGGTACACGACTGTAATCCTAGCACACGGGAGGGAGGCTGGGGCAGGAGGATTACACTGAGTTTGAGGCCAGCCTGAGCTACACAGGGAGATCCTGTCTCAAAAACAAAACAAAAAAATAGTGACTGAACTTGTCTCTAATGTGTGGCTCTGAAACAATGAGGTCTGAAACCAAAGATGGAATATGGGTAAAGATAAAGATAGGAAACAATTCTCAGCTTTTGGGAAAATATATCTACCCAGCACGTTCATTATTCAGACTATGATTCACCATTCCTAGTTTTTAAGCCAACATCATAGTCTAATCATATTGCTAGGTTACAGGTCCCTGAGTTATTTGAAAATAATAAAGATGGAATCCATTATAATAATACATTAAGCTTTTCCCTCTGTATCATCTCTTTGGGGAGAACATTTGATCATTATAAAATACACAAAATATTAAACATATAGATTACTTTGGATCTTGAAACCAAAGAGGTTTCCAATGAAAATGAAATAGTTATCCAACAATTGGTCATCCTAAGAAACGGAGTTAAAAACCTTCAGTAAAGGCCAGGATTTAGCTCAACAGCACCACACCTGCCTAAATTTGATCCTTGGTACAAAAAATAAATAATTTTCGATAAACAAATAACTACATCTCCCAGACCCATGGGTAGTAGTACTATTCTATACAATCAATATGAATTATGTAGCTCACTGGATTTATATTCAGGAACACAGTCTACCATTGAACTTTCTCAAGAATAACTGTCATACACATTTTTCTCTTGTGCTCTGAAGAGCAATAGTATTGAAGAAAGCTGAGTGGCCAGGTGAATTAATGAAACACCCATGTGCACTACAGCTTAATTTCATGATCACCAGACCTAACAACAAACTTAATGAAACATTCTACTCATGGCTTCAGTATAAATAGTATCAATGCAGGTAATTCATGCAGGTGATGAAAGAATAAATGATAAGCAAGGACATGTTCAGTTAAGACTTATCTCTCAGATGTACAATGTGTTTTTATACACACATGGTCCATAGTCCTCAGTGACTTCTTTCCCCCTCCCCCATCAAACCAAAGCAGACTGGCTAAATAAACTTGATATATTTCACCTAAGAACCTATTTGACCTCACATGCTACAAATCTTTTTGGTAATTGAGAGAAGTAGCACATAAACACCATAAAATGAGGGCTACTGACAGTGATGATGTAGCACTAACCAACACTAAGATAAGGGTCTAGGAAAAAAGGAAAAACTCCAGACTGTGACTAAAAGACAAGTAACAAAAGACAGCCTTGTCACGAATGGTGGCGCATGCCTGTAATCCTACCACTCAGGAGGCTGAGGCAGGAAGATCTGGAGTTCAAGGCCAGCCTGCACTACAAAGTGAGACCCTGTCTCAAAAAACAAAAAACAAACAAACAAAAAAAACTAAAGATATGCGTGAATGCTCATCAATTCTGATGTTAATTATATTTTGGATCTGGTAGCCTCAAGTCTCATACATTGAAAGAAAAGTATTGCCTCCAGTGCACTAGTTCCATCATCAATTAAAAAGAAATATCATCCAGGACTAGGGATTTAGCTCAGTGGTGCCTTGCAACAGGTGCCTTGCCTGTGTTTCGAGTGCATGGTCCTGAGTTCGATCCCCAGTACCACAAAAACAAACAAACAAAATCCAAATACTGCAAAGGCATTCAAAAACTAACAACTTAGAGTAACTTATGGCACTTCATCCACGAAGTAGAGAATTTACATTTATTATCTACTACGTACAAGGTGCCTTCTTTCACATGTTAGCTGTCCCCATTTCGCATATCAGGAAACAGAGTCCCTATAAAGTACATAGCTTGCCTGGGGCCACAGCTAGCAAGTGACCTGTTAGCTGCCCTGTGTACATTCAAACTTTGCTATAAATTTCACCAAGAATTTTACAATAATAATTCTTGCTCTGTTTGGGGCTCAAAACTTTTACTGGGAGAAAAATCTACAAGTGAAATTCTGACCTTTCACCTAAAAGCATTTACAGTAAAATATAACCTTTTGATATGGATCTGGAATATTTTACCATGAATTCTGAGAAGTATGGATTTCTAAATACAATTTGGAAATATTTACATGAACTGAAACTATAGTCCCAACTAATGCTAAATAGTTATTTTTGGCTCCTTAGTCTAAGTTATTCAGTAACTAAGAACATTTGAATTCAGCAAAAGAATAGCAAATACAAAGACCGTGGTTAAGAAAAGCACACCTTGGCACATAACAATATGAAATGACTGACTTCCACGTCAAATGTTTGGCTATTCTGTTTACACTTTCACTAGTCAACAGATGCCAGGCAGGAGTTAATAAATCCAAAGTAAAGTGTCCAAGTTCAAAAACTGAACCTAGTTATAAAAGTCGATTTCTTTTATCTAAAAGAAAGACTTAATTTACCTAAGTTCTATCACAAAGAGTGTTTACAAATTTTCCTTTTCAAAACAAGACCTGAATTCAGCCAGGCCTGGTGGCAGAAGCCTGTAATCTCAGCACTTGGAAGGCGGAGGAAGAAGGACTGCAGTGAGTTCAAGGCCAGCCCCAACTACATAGCAAAATCCTTTTCAACCACCTCCCCCTCAAAAGACCTGAATTTGAAAAAGGTGACCTTATTTACATCTTCATTGGTTTCCAAATTCTTGTCACTCCAAGAGCATAGACAATTATTTCCCCAAAATGCATCAGAGTTCAAAGAGTTCACCAGAGTTCATATTGAGGCTGGCCTGAAGGTTCACATGTCACTTCTCCACCTGGACAGCTGGTACATGATATGCCATATTAAAGAGAACACAGTACCTTTAAAGAGGTCATTAAACAGAACCTGCACAGGGCTGGGGATTTAGCTCAGTGGTTCCACCGCCTGCCTTACAAGTGCAAGGTCCTGAGTTCGATCCCCAGTACCAAAAAAAAAAAAACAGAACCTGCACAAATGTGCCATACCCACATCCTGAACAACACGTGTTTCAAAAGCACTCACTTCTTCCAACTAGAAGATAAAAAGCCAAGTCTGCCTACAAAATGTCCTTGATGCCCAAATCCACAGCCCGGGCAAAGGTTGTAAATAGTTAAATAAACAATGTAAACCGGACCCTATCATCCTTCTCTCCGCTAGAAAAAGATAAAAAGACGTTCTGACGGCTCCACAGTGATCTCTGGTGAGGAGATAAATTTTTCATTTTAAAGTTTTCAAGTGGCTTCACCGATGGCCTGTATGGATGGGGTCTTAAAAGAGTCTAATTCCCACAGCTTAACTTTCTTCACGAAGCCTTTGGGCAGAAAAGGAAGCCTCTTGCCTCCGAATACCTGCAGGGCAGGTAAGCAGAATCTGTAGTCCTTCAGTAAAAATGCTTACTTGCCTACCATTCCCTGATGAATTCCCTTCCCAGAGTCGCATTTTTTAAAAGTTCAAACAAGGATTCGAAACTCTTGTCACCCTCTTCCCCTCGATCACTGAGGCCCTGTCAGTCCTTCTGCGGCCACAGCCAGGCAGAGCCCAAGCCCACCTGTGTGGAGGGTCCGGCAGGGGGGCAGCCTGCGCCGGGCCCAGGCCTTCTGGAGATAGCACGAAGTCGCGCCCGCACGACCCCCCGAAGCCGCAGCCCGTGACAGCCGCGCTGGCCCGAAAGCCGAGCTGGTGGCGAACGCCTTGGCGTGGCCGGCAGCCGCCACGACTCGAGCCGGGAAGGCGCTAGCGGCCTGAGCTTCAGCTGGGCACACAGCCTCGGGCCGCCACCGCGCCGCGGCGACTGCCGGCTGTCCCCGCGCCGCGCTCGCCGGTCACTCGCTCACTCACCCCAGGGCCGGGCAGCAACAGCGCCAGCAGTAGCAGTAGACGCCGGACCCGCATGGCGAGGTTTCGGCCCTGCTCCCGGACCCACGGGCCGGCTCCGGGGGCGGTGCGCACGGAGAACTGGGCGGGGGCGCCGCGACGACAGTGCGGCCGCGGCTGAGCTTCGGCGGACGCAGACCTGACAAGGTGGCGGCGGCACCCCCATTCCCTGCCCTATAAGCGCTGCCGCCGTTTCTTCCGGTCGGGGCGGGGCCAATCTGGGGCGGGGGCGAGGGCTGGCAGGGCGGTCCCGTGGTCTGGGGGCGGGGCCCAGGGGGGACCTGGGGCGGGGCTGTCTCCGGGAGCGGGGTGGGGCGGGGTAGGTTTCTGCCCTTTGCCCTGCACCGCTGAAGAGAAGGGTACCTCCTCGTTGTCTGGCGTCTAGGGGCGCTTGGCTAACAAAGCGAGCAGCTTGTACGCAGGCTAGTGGGGGACTGACCACCCTTTTCCCCCTGGTGGTCCCACTAACCGAGCCACAGGATCCGCGGAGTCAAATCTGATGGAGAGAAAGGCCGGGACCTGGTCGGTTCCGGGAGCTCAGGAGCTTCTTCTTCACCTTCCCGCCGAGGTGGAATCGTCGGCGCGGATCACTCAGGAGCCTTCCCGGGCGAGGGTTTCAGTAGCTGGCGGGGGTTACAGCAAGTGCGCGTTAAAGCCTGCACGGCAGTTGCAGAGTTCACGGTCGAGGGCCCTTCCAGCTGTGCCTCATCCAGCACTAAAGACCCCTTTCTTCCCTTTCTTTGCTCTCAAGAATTCCCCCAGATCTCGGCCAGAGGCCATCAGTTCCCAGCCAAGTCATCCACCAGCAAAAATTGTAAGGAAACTGTTTGGGCTACTTGAGTCGTGTATTTTGGGGGGTTGTTTTTTTTTTGAGTCGTGTATTTTTGTGACATTTGTATATGTGACAGCATGAAGCTTGAGATGACATGTGTCACAACTCGTTGGAGGGAGTGGGTGATGGGTTAAGGACTCCTACAAGCTTTATTTGAGTGTTGAGGGCTATTAATCAGAATTAAAGAGCCCAGGAGCTGTTTGCTCACTGGATCTCAAGCTGTCCGCCACTAAATTGGAAGGTGAAAGACATGTTGTTTGTAATAAAAGAAAGAACTGCTGTGTGTGGTGGCAGACTCCCAGTACTAGGGAGCTGAGGCAAGAGGATCCTCTCAAATTCCAGGCCAACCTGGGCTACACAAGACCAGTCTGAACTACATAGTGAGACTGTCTCAATAAATAAATAAGAAAGATTTGGAGTACAAGGAAAAGTATTTGTTATTCTCTATTTTTTTCTGACTTGCTCACATGACAGCACAAGATTTTTCAGCATTTGGGAGAAAAGGTATAAGCAACGCCAGAAAGAATTCAATAAAGCATCAGGGGAGTGCACTGTGGGTCAATCCTACTCAACTATTATGAACAGAAATGCTCACAGAAGCCCAAATCCCATAGACTTCTCAACTCCCTAACTTGGTTCACAACTAAGGGTCTAATCCTACCCATGCTGGAGAATCCCAACACACCAGTTTAAGCATGGACAAATCTTGGGAACTGTGAAAGCTCTAGACACATTTTGAAAAGTTACTCAAATGTCCAATTGCAAACAGAGGTTTGGGATTGGCAGAGAAAAATGGGGAAACAGAAGCCCAGCACACCTGAGCATGGTGTCTAGGTGTCCAGGGAGGAGTCTATAGCCACCCCAGGAGAAGTTCTTTAATGATTACCTGTCCAGATTGCAAGCTGACAACAGAGCCTATCAGACCACATGGTGGGGTTAAAAAAGAAGTGGACTTAAAAGCTGTTTTCAAATCCCTTCTCTACTGTATTTTCCTGAACATGGTAAGTCTGGGAGGGAAACTCACTGTGCTGAAACTCTGGCAGCCCTTTGACAATTCACAATGTCACTGTGACCCTGTAAACACAGCAGATGAAACATGAAGGGGAATGCTGACCTCAGTCTGACTCACAAATCAGCTTTAAAGATCCTGGAAACAAAAATCGTCCAAGGAACTGGGCCAGGCAGGTATATTTATCTTGCGTTCAGTTGGACCCAATCTCCATGCCTTAATTGCACTGTTACACGATCTCAGGATTTCTTATGCAGCACTGAGGTAGTTCTTAGGCTTAGCCAGACCACATGCTTCAGATACTGTACTTCTCTAGATAGGCAATTTTGACTGATAAGCTCTGGTTTTATTTAAGGTGGTATTGCCCATAATCTTGCTCCCCTGTCAGGTACCTATGATAAAGCAAAAGCTGGCATGGCTGATAAATACAAAAATGGAAATATTTTGAAGCGTGCTTTCAAAGTGGATCTGTTCATATAAAAGACTCATTGAATAGCATCCACTAAGCAAACCCAAGGCCATGGACTTGATGTAAAATAAGCCCTCCTTTGCCACATAAGTTGAAAACAATATGCCTTTAGATTCAACAAGGACTGGAGCAGGACCTAAATATGCCTAGGAGGTGAAAGAAAGTAAGTTTTTAAAAAATCTTATTTTCACTTCTCTGTGAACCAGTGGTTCCCAAAATTGGACGGTTAAAAGAAAGAAAAAAAAAACATTTCCAAATCCTTTTTTTGTGCTCCTTTCCCTTACTGATTCAGATTATCCAGGAGGCAGAGCCCAGAAACCTATCCAAGACTCCCTCACTCTTGAGGTCCTGTGTTAATTCCTGTGACCAATGATCCTTCAAGTTTATTTAAGTAAATGTTGCCCTCTAGTGGAATAATTATTACCTAGATCCTATACCTCGTCCTAGAGCTTAAGGTTTATGCCTATCTCAAAGCTGGAGTCCTGAATCTTGGGTGTCCTCTGTCACCTGTGGAAACTGTGAAATCGTTCTACAATGATTTGTCAGGTTGACTTGCAAATAGCTATTTAGTAAGACAGTAGCTACTTTTGAAGAAGGGGACTTGAAAAAACTTGTAAAACCAAAAAGGGAGGTCATATTTGAAAGCTCAAGGAACAACATCTTTATCACAATAAATCAAGTCAGGTTGGTTTTGATACCTCCCTGCTACTGCTACTGGTAATTCTAAACTTGAACTTGAAGCATGTGTGGGGTAGTTATGGGATTAAAAAATAAAATGAAGCAAGAGGCAGTTTCTAGTAGCAAGCTACATTTTTATCTCCTTCCTGTCCTAATGTTTAAGGGAAATTTTTTAAAACTGCTGTCACTAAGAAGTTTGGTTCTTAGGTAAATAGAACTTTGGCTCTTCCTGTTCTAGGATGACTGGATTGGAAAAGATTGTGACACTCATTCTAACAACTTGTCTTTACCACAGAACCATATATACTACTGTATACAATTTCTTATGTTGCAAAAGAACTTCTTTCTTTTCTTTTTTTTTTTTTTCGGTACTGGGGATCGAACTCTGGGCCTTGCACTTACAAGGCAGGTGCCGGAACCACTGAGCTAAACTGCCAGCCCAAGAACTTATTTCTTATTATTAAGGTTATTATTTTTTTACTCTTTGCTTTGTTTAGAAACGTGCAAATACTTGCTTTATAGGTTCATCTTCCACTACAGTTCTATGAGTAAATATCATTAGCCCCATCTTACACAATATACTAAAATTTAGAAAGGTTAACAGCACAGTTGAAAAGATATAGCTTGAAAGAGGCACAACCACTAGAATCCAGTGATCTGCTTAATTACAAAGCTTATCTGGTTAACCCTTGATGATATGACATATTCTACCATTAACAGGTTATTCTTGTCCCAGTGCACAGCATTATGACAAGGTACCATTGAGTGACCTACAAATGCAAGTTAAATAGTATCCTAGACTGGAATTTTCTGAAATACAGTTGTCCCTCCATAACTATAAGAGATTAGTTTCAGGATCTCCTCGAAGATACCAAAATCCCACGATTCTCAAATCCCTTATATAGGACTGGGGATTTAGTTCAGTGGTGCTGCCTCCTGCCTCGGAAGCAAAAGGACCTGAGTTCAAACCCCGGTACAAAAAAAAAAAATCCCTTATATAAAATACCATGGCCAGGCATGCCTATAATCTCAGCACTTGGGAGGCTGAGGCAGGAGAATCTCTGGGAATTCAAGGCCAGGCTAGGCTACATAGTGAGTTCAAGGCCAACCTGAACTACAGAGTGAGACCCTATCTCAAAAAACAAAACAATAGAACCTCACCTGCCTGGAAAGCTCAAGGTTCTGAGTTGATCCCCAGTCCCCAGTACCAAAAAACCAAACCAAACCAAAACAAAACAAACAAAAGCCATGGCATTTGCACAGTCCTGTGCATATCTGCCTGATACTTCATCTCTAGATTGCTAATAATATATAATACAATGTAAATGCTGTGTAGTAATTGTGATACTATATTGTTCGGGAATGAATAAGAAGGAAAAAAGGTCTGTACATGTTTAGCACAGTTCAAATGTTTCTCCAAGTAATTTTTTTTTTTTTAGGTACTGGGGATCGAACTCGGGTCCTTGGGCTTGCACAGCAGGCGGCAAAACCACTGAGCTAAATCCCCAGCCCCTCTCCAAGTATTTTTGATCCATACATGGTTGAATCCATAGGTATAGCCTTAGGGCCGGGGATTTAACTCAGTGATTCCTTCGCCTGCCTTGCAAGCACAAGGTCCTGAGTTCGATCCCTGGTACCAAAAAAAACAAAAACAAAAAACAACATAGGTATAGGCTTGTGAATAGGGTCCACTGATTGCTAATAACTACCAAAGGTTTGAACAAATGTGGTGTGGTAATAGGGGAATTGCCTCAAATTATTATAGACAGCTAAATTAAATAGATATGAATATGCAGTCAGAGAGAGATTGGGCCCTCAAAGAAGTCAACACAAAAAAATAAAGGCATCAGAATTATGGCTGGAGATGAAGCTGAAGAGATCCAGGCCTCAGGATGGAGGCACAATAGCTGGGTCTTTGAGGAAACAGAGCTTAAGATTATACTGTAATTATCATTACCTGGTCCAGTGGGCCCAGCTAGGCATAGGTCTGGGACCAGAACATCTTAGACCCATACCCTCCTCCTGTTCCAAGAATTCCTTTGTTCTTTCCATGTACATTTGCTGCTTGACTCGTTTTCCTATTGGGTCAATATTAGCTAAGTGACTATACTTGTAACCCAATAGGTTGATTGCACATTTGACCCACGTTGTACCCGTGTTGTGATTTTGCCGTATAAATTACTTCTGACAAAGAGCTTCAGTGGCTA